CCTTTTCTCCTGCGCAGTGGGGGAGGAATAGTATCCTGGCTCTTAGCGGAAAATACTTCCTTACTCTGACTTTTCCTTTTAGAGATTTTCAACCGTTCCTTCTGTTTTCACAGAAGACTATTGCTTCTTGCTTTCTGAAATTATTGGCTTGTTTTGCAAGTATACCAATTGTTAAGATCTGTTAAAGGCAAATGGCAGAAACTGGGGTGTTTGTTATTCTGTATTCTTTTCTGTGTGTTTTATATATCTCATAGAAAAAAATCATAATTTGAGATACAAAGGATTTATGTTATAAACAACAATGTCTATCATAGCATTCTTGGACTGCAAACAACCTAAAGGTCCAACAGTAGGGAAATGATAAACTGAATTTTAATTAAGGCATATAATATAATACTATAAAGCCATTGAAAATCTTATTTTTGAAAAATTATTAAATGTGGAAATGCTCACAGTATCATAAGTTAAAAATGTAGAATACAAATAATATACATTGTAATGTGTATAATATGCATTTTGTAAAATATATATACACACACACACACACATATACATCTATATGTGTGTGACTGGACACATTCTTTTTGAATGCACATGGAACATTCTCCAGGATAGATTACATATTAGGCCACAAACAAGTCTCAATAAATTTAAGATTAAAATAATATTGAGCATATTTTCTGACCCAGTGGTGTAAAACTAAAAATCAACTACAAGAAGAAAGCTGGAAAAGTCACAATATGTGGAGATTAAACAAAAAGCTACTGAACAACCATTGAGTCAACAAAAAAATCAAAGGAGAAATCAAAAAATACCTGGAGACGAATGAAAGTGAAAATGTGACATAGCAAAATCTATGGGATACAGCAAAAGCAGTACTGAGGGGGAAATTTATAGCAATACAGGTTTCCCTATCTCAAAAAACAAGAAAAATCTCAAATAAACAATCTAGTAATACACCTAAAGGAACTAGAAAAAGAAGAATAAATGAAGCCTAAAATTAGTAGAAGGAAGGAAATTTGAAAATCAGAGCAGAAATAGATGAAGTAGAGACTAAAAAGACAATAGACAAGACCAATGAAATGAAGAGCTGGTTCTTTGAAAAAATAAATAAAATTGGCAAACCTTTAGCTAGACTTAACCAAGAAAAAAAGAAAGAAGGCTCAAATAAAATCAGAAACAAAAGAGGAGAAATTAGAACAGATAACACAGAAATACAAAAGATTATAAGAGAATACTATGAAAAGCTATGCACCAACAGATTGAATAATCTAGACGAGATGGATAAATTCTTTGAATTTTACAGCCTTCCAAAACTGAATCAAGAAGAAATAGAGAATCTGAATAGACCTATCACTAGTAAACAGATCGAAACAGTAATCAAAAACCTCCCCAGAAACAAAAGTCCAGGACCAGACATCTTCCCCAGTGAATTCTACCAAACATTCAAAGAAGATTTAATACCTATCCTTCTCAAACTCTTCCAAAAAATTGAAAAGGAAGGGATGCTTCGGAACTCATTCTACAAGGCCAACATTACCCTGATACCAAAACCAGACGAGGATGACACAAAAAAAGAAAATTACAGGTCAATATCACTGATGAACATAGATGCAAAAATCCTTAACAAAATATTAGCAAATCGAAAACAACAATACATTAGAAGGATCATACACCAGGGTCAGGTGGGATTTATTCCACAGATGCAAAGATGGTTCAACATTCACAAATCAGTCAGCGTGATACACCACATTAACAAAATGAAGAATAAAAATCATGTAATCATCTCAATAGATGCAGAGAAAGCATTCAACAAGATACAGCATCCATTTATGATACAAACTCTGAGTAAAATAAATATAGAAGGAAGGTACCTCGACATAATAAAGGCCATATATGACAAACCCACAACTGACATCATACTCAATGGTAAAAAGCTGAAAGCTATCTTTCTAGGAACAGGAATAAGACAAGGATACGCACTCTCACACCTCTTATTTAGCATTCTATTGGAAATCCTAGCCAGAGCAATTAGGCAAGAAAAAGAAGTAAAAAGGATCCAAATTGGAAAGGAAGAAGTAATACTGTCACTACTTGCAGATGACATGATTTTATATATAGACAACCCTAAAGAATCCACCAGAAAACTATTAGAAATAATAAATGAATACAGTATAAGTTGCAGGATGCAAAATCAACATACAGAAATCAATTGCATTTCTATACACTAACAACGAAATAGCAGAAAGAGAAATCAAGAATACAGTCCCGTTTTCATTCACAACAAAAAGAATAAAATACCTGGGCGGGCCTCGTGGCTTAGCGGTTAAGTGCGTGCGCTCCGCTGCTGGCGGCCCGGGTTTGCATCCCGGTGGTGCACTGACACACTGCTTCTCCGGCCATGCTGAGGCCGTGTCCCACATACAGCAACTAGAAGGATGTGCAACTATGACATACAACTATCTACTGGGGCTTTGGGGGAAAAATAAATAAGTAAAATTATTAAAAAAAAAAAAAAATGAATAAAATACCTAGGAATAAATTTAACCAAGGAGGTGAAAGACCAGTACACTAAAACTGTAAAATGCTGTTGAAAGAAATCAAAGAATACGCAAAGAAATAGAAAGATATTCTGTGCTCATGGTTTGGAAGAATTAACATAGTTAAAATGTCCATAGTTCCTAAAGCAATCTGCAGATTCAGTGCAATCCCTATCAAAATTCCAACGACATTTTTCACGGAAAGAGAACAAAGAATCCTAAAATTTATATGGAACAACAAAAGACCCTGAATAGCCAAAGCAATCCTGAGCAAAAAGAACAAAGCTGGAGGCATCACGATCCCTGACTTCAAAATATACTACAAAGCCACAGTAATCAAAACAGCATGGTACTGGCACAAAAATAGACGCACAGATCAATGGAACAGAATCAAGAGGCCAGAAGTAAACCCACAAATCGATAAAGAGCTAATTTTCGACAAAGGAGCCAAGAAAATACAATGGAGAAAGAAAAGTCTCTTCAATAAATGGTATTGGGCAAACTGGACAGCCATATGCAAAAAAAAAATGAAAGTAGACCATTATCTTACATCATACACAAAAAATTAAAGTAAAATGTTAATTTTTAAATTATTAATAGCATTTTATTATGTACTATTTTATGGATGTATTTTTCCAGCATATCTGCATATTTGTGTACATACATAAGTGTTTGCTGGGAGTGTTGTTGACTTCATGTTAATAATTATTGTGGGGGAGGTTGGCTTTTTTATTTTTTTAACTTTATACCTGTCAAAATTATTATTGTGTCCCTGAAATTGGAAAAAAAATGTTAATCCAAATATTTATACTAAATTTTGCCTAATGTTGACAATAGAAAATGTGTGTCTCTGAGTCATGGTTAAGACAGTCATTTGACTGAATTCTCATAATGGAACATTTATTGAATGCTTAACCACGGCAGGCACCGTTCTCTGCGTTTTACATTTTTAACTCATTTATTCCTTATGACAACCCAGTGAAGTGAATACAGTGATCTCCATTTTTCAGACGACGAATGGACATAGAGAGGTGGTCAGGGTAACCACAGACACAGCTGCTTCTGTGTAAAGTCCAGATTTGGACCCACACAATCTGGTTGCAGGATTCAAACTCATAACCACTCTGCTGGGTTGTACTCTACGCCTCACAGATATTTATTTCCATCAGAAAAAGAAGTTACTCTATATTCTGTAAGATATTAATGCTTCGGTAGGATTGATGGATTCAAAGCTTAAATGATATAACTAATTTCTAATACTGGCATAAATTAAAGTGGGAATCTATTTGGAGCTCTTTCAGAAGGTGACTAAAATCTATGGTGACTGTGTTTTCCCGCTGATTAGTTGACATGATTCTAAGCATGAATAAATTTGATCTGGAAAAGTAAAAGTTACAGTTTAGACTAATTTAGGACATAGCACAAGATCACCTTTACTAAGCCCTGCCCCACGTTATCTTTATGATTCTGGCTGATACAAAACACAGTCACTGCCTGTGTTCTCCTTCTGCAGGAAACTTAGGTACTTTTTTCTTTGCATTGTTTCTGTAGTACCTCTTCACACACACACAAAAATGTTTCCTATATGTTTTTTGTAGCTGCTCAGTAGGTCAACCTTCAAAAGAGAAAAGGTGAAATTAGAATTCAATGTCTCTTCATTTAATCAGAGATTTTAAATTGTATTTTCATTGTTAAAAGAAGAGACATAGGCTTGCAGGTGCAAGACAAGCATTTGATGTGGGGAAAATCAGTGTCTTCATTCTTAGTTATTACTCCACCCATTATTTCGGTGAGTGAGTTTTTTGAATTCTAGAATTACAAATCAGTAAACAGATTGCACATGTGTTCATTTCTGCCTTGTGGCAAACGTAACAATACATGTAATATGTAAGTGCTAATTCTAGACTTTGCTTTAAGTGTATAAATTTAAAAAAATGAACATAGCCTCTTGTTGCAACAGCCTTTGATTTTTGTTAGTGTAAAAGTTTGAATATTTTCTTCAGATTCTAGTTCATTGCTAAAAAGTTAAACTTCACATTTAATATTATATATACCCGGGGCCTGCCCCATGGCTTAGCGGTTAGGTGACCGTGCTCCGCTGCTGGCGGCCCGGGTTCGGATCCCGGTCACACACCGACGCACTGCTTCTCCAGCCATGCTGAGGCCACATCCCACATACAGCAACTAGAAGGACATGCAGCTATGACATACAACTATCTACTGGGGCTTTGGGGAAAAAAATAATAAATAAAATTATTTAAAAAATAATAATAATATTATATATACCCTTTTCCTCTGTTTTAGAAATGTCTATATTGTCATGACTTTATGTTTGAATCAATTTCAAGGCATAAATTTTTAATACATTGGAAAGTTCTCGTATTGCTAATATTATGATTTAAGAAAATTGTCACGTTTTTTACCACAGATGCTCAATAATGTGTCATTTTGTTTTCTTAGGAACTTCCTGCACCGTTACTTAATGATAATTGTAAAAAAGAATTTGGTGAAGACGTATGTAATCATAAAACATCAGAATCTAATATTAAGATGAAAATAGCTTGGCGTTACCAGTTATTGCCCAAAATGGAGGCAAGTCAACATACAAACTATTTCTAAAATTTGAAAGTGTGATTGTTTTCGTTTTATAGAATCTCTTGTGGTATACCTGTGATTCTTTAAATGTGATACAATGTGTATTTATTTAAATAACTAGATATTTCATTTTTAGAGTATTTTATCAAGATGATATTTCTTAAAAATAAAATTATGGCAAATTGTTTTTTTACCAAAATAGATTATTTCATTTCTTTCATAATCTTCATATAGAATCTTTTATTCTAGGGTTGCAAGCCAGAGTATGTGAACTAATTAAACCATTTCTATGATTACCTATAAATATTCAATGAAAGTGGTGGTTGTCTGGAATTACTATTTTTATTCCTATACATTTCAACCATTACATTTTCAAACTCAGTTATCTGGTAACTTCACCTCCCCAAGATAGACTGAGAGACAGGACGTGAGGGGAAAATTTCTGAGAAGTCAAAACAGATGTCAGTAAGTGGGCAGTAAGTCTGCCCACTAAAGCTCATGAACTCTGCTCCTGGTGAAGGCTCTGTTCACTTATTACCTCCCTCATTTGATTGTTTACTTCATTCATTTTTCAGAACACTTTAATATCTATCAGACATTATCATACTGGTAGAAAAGAGGGGAATTCTATCTGAATAAGACACAATTCCTATAGTCCACCCTTTTCTAGTCTTCCCCAGTGATATCAGTGTTACCTTTCCCAGGGACAGAAGGATGTTCACAACACTCCTGAACTGCAAATGCCGAATTTGGTTTCCTGTTTCCACTGCCCCCACTGAATGCAGGGCAGACTGTCCATCAGAGTGCCCTCCTGCCAAGCTTAGACACAGCCTTAGAATTCTCTGCAGAGTGTTCTGGGTGGTCACTGCCAGTCAGTGAGAGTTAGTATGTGAAGCCTGCAGTATGAAATACAAACTTCTCAAGATTGTATGCAAGATCTGTACAGCCTAAGCCCAGCCCCCTCTCCCAGTCTCCTCCCAGAGTTTTATAAGTGTGCATATATAACACCACAGTGACTCATCCCGTGAGAAACGCTCCTTGTGAATGGCACATGTTTCTGCTGGTAACACTTTTTTCTCTTTCTTATCACCAACTCATCCTTCTCCAAGTGCAAGTGTTACTACCTCTTACAGCTTTCCATACTTAATTATCTAGTTTTTAATTATTGTTTCCATAGCACTTCATGTATTTTAAAGTACTTCTATACAGTATATTACAGTTAATTGTTAGTATAACTCTCCTCCACCAGACAGAATTCCCTATGAGGGCAGAGAGCCTATTTCATCTTCTCTTGTATCTCCAGCCTGTATTAATGCCCAGATACTCGGTAAATATTTAGTGAATGATGAATCTATTCATTCATTCAGGCAGCAAACACTGATTAAGCATCAGCTGTGTACCAAGGGTAAAGTATGTTGCAATAGGTGCAGACTAAGCAATGGTAGATTGTTCTAACTTAGAGGGGAAAGCTGTTTGAATAGTATGATCTTTAAGCTGTGATTTAAATGACTGTGAACAAGCTACAAACTGGAGAGAGGATATTTCAACTCATAGAATAAGGAATAAATTTTCCTTATATATAAAGGACTTCTAAAATAAATAAGGAATAGTCTACCAACTCAATTTTAAAAAACAGGCAAAAATATGAAAAGAAAATTTAGTTGGCTCTTAAACATACAAAAACAGATGCCCAATTTCAGTTACACTAAGAGAAATACAAATTAAAACTACACTGACCGGCCATTTTTCTCTTATCAGATTGTCGATAATCTAAAATGTTGGTAAGACACTAAATCAGCAAAGGTGAGGGGAAACTAGTACTCTCAGACTTTGTTGGTGGAAAACTTCTGTGGAGGGTAATTTGGTAGATCCATTAAAATTACAAAAACGTATACCCTTTGATCGTTTTGGAAATTTACATGACAAATATATTTTCTCAGATGTAAAATGAGATATATATGAGCTATTTATGCAGCATTTTTTTTAATAGCGAAAGATTGGAAATAACCTAAATGTCCATCAGTAAAGAGCTAGTAAATAAATTATGGTCTATGTGTACAGTAGAATACCATACATTTGTATTAAAAAATAAAAGGAAGCTCTGTGTAATCAGAAGTGGTTGCAGGCATAGCCTAGCTTGGATGTGACTGAGAACTGGGTACCAAAGGCTGGAGTAAATATTCTGCTCAGGAAAGTGTGAGTTGAGTGATAGAGATTAAAACAGACAAGGAATGTAGGACTAGCAGTTGAGAACCCTAAGGGCTAAGAACTTCATGTCTTTGATCTGGCAGGTTCATTTAAGAAACTGGGCTTAACCTCTTTTGTAAAGGGTGACTGTATTTTAACTTTTCTACTGCTGTGTTCTGCACGAGTCAATAATGAACATAAGCTCTAAGTTACATTTAGCTCTCTTGTGAAGACAATATGCCAATCCAGTTTTAGATTATATATCAATGTCTTCATTTCCTTTATTTTCACTCCCATCTCAGTTTGGTTTTGGTCTTTTCATTGGTTACTAACATTCTTCAAGTGAAATTGTCAGTGAAAATGCAAGTAACTGAAACTTAAGCCGTTTTTCTTACTGTTGGTTATGAAATCAGTTTAAAGTTGGGGAGAAAGTTCTTTGTTTCTTTATAATTCATTGCTCCTTTATGTATTATAATTGTAGATGCACTTTCTGCCCCTTTTACATAGAATTGTGCAGCTTATTCCGTTCTTCCTTTTAGAGGGTGGGATGTCTGCTTTGATTATCTATGGGAGCAAACCTCTCAGAGGTTCCATATTAACACACAAACCCATTGCTCAGTGTTCTAGGTTTACAGCTTGAGCGTTTTAAAGATTGTGATTCTTACAATGACTTCCCCAGATGACTTACTGTCCTATTTTCTCCAGGTCTTCACTAAAGTATCACTTGATCAGGAGTGTCTTCCTTTGTCACTCTGTATAAAATTAAACCCCTCTCCCCATCAACTCCTTCCACTGTCTTCTTGTTTATCCAGGGCACTCATCATCACCAGGCAGATAGTATAGCGTCTGTCTCATCCTACTAGAGAGCGAGCTCAGTGAGAGAAGGGACTTTGGGTCTTTTGTTTTACTGGCCTGTAGTGGGTGCTCAATAGTTATTTGTCGAATACATGAGCACATGAATTATATAGTATGTGAACTAAATGTGAAACTGACCTAAGTTGCATTAATTAATACAAATAAAATAATATTTTATTTTGAATTTACCGCCAGTGGTCAAACTTAAGATAACTAGTATTTACAAGTGAGTTCTGTCGAGTTTAGAAAATAGAGCCATCTTCTGGCTTCTTTGCATTTCTCTGAAATGTCAGCGGCATGCATATTCACCTGTTGCAGAAATCTTGTATATGGTGATTTACCAAGACTGGTAGACTTTGGTGAGCTCTCATCATCACCTCCTTTATAAGTCCAGACCTTACTTTGCCATTACCAGTTTACAAACAACAAAACTCTGGCTTTTCTTTATTTTACTTGGGACAAAATATAGTTAACACCATTATGAGTAGATTAAACACGTAGTCGATTATCAGAAATGCCTTTTAATATAGTTGTCACCAGGTCCTAAGCATGTAGTCGTATACCCATTTAGGAAATGCAAAAAAGGATAAGAGTGTGCATGCCAAAGTCAGTGGCAACAGATCAGTAGAGCACAAAGCAGCGCTTCTTCCAGTTGGAGGGGTGTGTAGTTTTAAAATGCCCCCATCCCTCGTCCTGTGATTTGGTTCTCTCGCCTAGGTGGACATGCCCTCTTCTTCCCCATACAGTCATCAACCTCTATTCCCTCTTCACCCCAAGAGTTGCTAGCCTACAGCACATTCTGAGACTTCATGTCTTCAGTATCGTAGAGCTCTGCTACCAAGGCCCACGCTGGCTCCAGCAGTTCACGACCATGCATTTGATCTTGCTTACAGTAAATCCTCATTACACTTTGGCTTTTTGTCGTGGTGGTTCAGCCACAACAGTCCTGTGATGGATGTGTGCATGTTGTACTTGACAGCAAATATCATTTTTTCAATAAGGCAAGGTAATTACAAAGGATAGAGATGGATCTTCTGATTCTTTAGTGAGTCGTGACACACGAATAATAATTAATACCATTTACATAGTGCTTTACAATTTACAAAATATTCATCACCAGTATTGCATTAGATCGCACAGCAGCCTAGTGAAATAGTTGTTATTAGCTCTAATTTCTGGCGGTTGAACTGAGCTCACAGTGGTTTAATAACGATTTGAGTTCTTGCTTTGTTACGCCATTGAGAAACAGAAAATGATAACAATGAAAGAAAATGTCTTATTTAGACTGTTTGTGGTGCAGCTTTTCTCTGAAAGTTTAGTTTCTTTCTGACACGCTGGAGGGAGGGTGGTATTGTTTTGTTGCTCTGTGCTCCTCCTGGCCCTGCCTCAGAGTTCATTTTCCTTTAGCACAGTGAATTTGTACTGAATCATTCCATATTACTCTCTTCCACAGTTAACAATGTTAAAGTGTACTTTATGAATGTGAAGTAGAAGTTTTCATAATATAAAACTAAAGCAACGTATTCTTATCAAACTGAGTAAATGACTAGTTATTGATGATAGTTTGATTTTTTTTAATGCATCTTTTTTTGTGGAGTTGACAGTTTTTCATGGAGTATTATTATTAGATTTAAAGCATTTAGTGATTTTTTACAGGAAATACTTTAAGTCCTTTTTTTACAGGTCTAGGACTCAAAAGATTTCACAGCATGTCAAAAATCTGATTACATGTTAGTGTTATGTCTAGGGTAGAAAACTTACAAAATTATTTTTTCCTGTGAGAGTATACTTATTTTTCATTTTCATTTTTTATTGAAGGGTTAAACTTTTTCATCATTAAGATTTTTAGTCTACCTTTTGAATATTTTAGTTGCCGTAGCTAATCTTAATTTCTAAAAAAATTAGTAACTTAATTGTAATAGGAAAAGCTTCCAAATTTATTTTCACATTTTAATGAATTATTTGTGTTCTATATGTTAACTGTCACAGCATGAAATCAATTTTCTGCCTTGATCATTCCCAGATCTGAGATTTCTATCACATTAATATTATAATTAGAAACGTTAATAGAGATGGCAACTTAAAAAGCATGCTTTGCTTCTTGGCAATTTAGCATATTTCTCTGAGAGCATAGGACTTCAAGAACCTTCAGTCCACTAATAAATTTATTAACAAACTTAAAAGAAGCGAAAGTCTCTCTTTCTTTCTGTCTCCCCATGGCCAGTCTGCTAAAATAGATTATTCATGCTTATTTGATTCAGGTAGGCTTTTGCAAGCTTCCCTACTAGGCCTGGGAATGTGGTACATTGAGGCCTTTTCAGAGGCTCTGACATAGACCAAGCTTTTATTGCATGGTTTTTTATTATTACCAAATCCTGGTCTCCACCCAGTTTGTAGGCACTCTTCTTATTCTTTTGAATCAGGAAAGGTTATCACCTACCTTAATCCATGCAGCAGCGTGGATTAAGGACACCAGTGTGCCCCAGGATTCTCAAAGAGGATCCTGGAAACTTCTTGTTTCTTCTTTTTTGCTGTCTTTACTAAATTCTATTGGGCCTTAGGAGGATTTGCATCTGAAATGGGCAACCTGGTGTTTTTCTCAATGAAGACATCAGATCAAAGTTCAGTTAGTCAAGGCCTTTCTAAAACATTAAGGGGGCTTGGACTTACACAATAAAAAGATGAGCTCTAGCAGAGATTGCAGTAAAAACATTCTGAACTATAATCCGGATAAAGAATAGATTATAGGCCAAAGAACAGACCTTGGTTAAATTGCTTTAGACTAATAACTTTACATTTAAAAACTTTACACCCTATTCTTAAGAAACATATTTTAATGTCACATAATTTATTTGTCAAAACTTTCACGGTAAATAGATAAATCATGTTTTGGGAACAATAATGCTGTGTATATTGCATTGAAAAGATTAGATTGAGCTAATTGATAGGTCTCTTCATTACTGAAAATAAACAGTACCTAAGGGAGGGATGAACAGTCATTTTATTTAGAAAATAAGTGTCAAACCCACAGACTCTGAATTTGAGGATAATGTTTCTATTAGACTTCACTTTTTTTTATTCTAACTGTATAATTTGATGTTTCTAGGCATTTAAGAACATGAATCTTTGAAGTCTTAAAATGCAAATATCTAGCATGAAGCAAGTGTCTGTTTCTTATCTAAATTACAAAGTTGTGAGTTACCTAGTAAACGAAGTTAAGAACCTACTGTGTATAGTTCTTCAATTTCTGCAGAGATTATCTAGTTTTGTTGAATGTTCTAAAACTTGTCTGTTTTTTAACATTCAGAACAGTGGAAATTATGTAAATTTAGATCAGAGATTTCATTAGGAACTGTTGCCAGGTGGAATCTGTTAGTAGTTCAGCTTTAGATAGAGGTGTACATATATTTCTAATGTGCTGAATGAAAGAATCAGCCCGGAGTGCGTTCACAGCAGTATAACAAGAATGCTACAGTCCTAGGTTTTTACTATCCTATGTAAATAAATTCAGCATCATTAGTTATTAGTTTCTTATGAGAAAGATAATTTGTTGGAGAAATTGTTAGTAGAGAGCACAAAAGAGGAATTACGAATGAACTAATGATTATGCCAGATTTCTGATTTATCTAATGTAGCTTATGTACATTCTCCCGCTTTATCATGTGCCTTGTTCCCATCTGGAGTACCCAGTACATTTTATACTATAAGCCTAATTTTAAGTTTGTAAGAAAATTTGAATATATATACACACTGTCTTGTGAGAATTTAGTTTTAAAATGGTGCTCAGTTTAATGTATTTAAATAGCTAGTTTCTTTTGGGCCCCTCAGCAATGACTTAACTTTGGCTTAAGTTTTCATTAGTTCTTAGCAAGTGCATATTTAATTTGTCAATAAAACCTGAAATCTTTAAAAAATAATTAAGACATGTATATTAAATTTTTGAACTTAGGAAGGTATACAGTATAGTAAAAAAGCAAAGAAGTGTTTAAATTCTTATCAAACTTAGGGAACCACCAGCAGGGAAGAAACATGGGAGATGAAAAGGTTGATTTCTAACTATTGAGAATTTAAAATAATAACAGTTGTTGTATGCTCCTTTGAAATTTAATGTCTATGTATATCAGCTCTTATTAGCATTAAAATGTATAAATATTTCAGTGTTTTGCTGAATGTAGGACAAATAAATGGTGGTTTAAAAAAACAGTAATTTTTAAACAACCAATATGGGTTTTCTTAACAGGCTGGACCAGTATCGTCTTCAAGATTGGGTCACTATTATGATGCATCAAAAAGGATACCACAGGAACTAATTGAGGCTTCAAAATGGCATGGATTTTTTCTCCCAGAAAAAATGTCTTCCACTCTTAACGTAGAATCCTGGTAAGTTAATGACCCAATTCTGATTTCAAAGGTTAATAGATGCATTTTTACCATATTCTTTGGAAGAATGCATATCTAAAGGTACATGTCCTAATAATAAATGTTAGTTTTCTACATAATTTGCGCCTTGAAAAGTCTGGATACCAAATTTACAATACCTGCTGTTTTTATTTTCAAGAAAATGTGGAATGGTTCTAAATCAGGGTCTTTTAGCCCTAAATGCAAATAGATACCCAAGTATTACTTATTCATAACAAGAGCAGTGAAAATGGCATAAAGTAATGCTGTTGCCCCATGTTTTTCCATAAGTGCTCTTTCAGAAAGTAAACAAGTATATATTTTCCAATATTTTATTTATTAAGGCTTTATATTTCTAGTTATGCTGTAAATAAAACAATCTGTATTTTTTCAGTTACTTAAGGGAATTTAGGGTTTTAATTTTACAATGAAGAGTTTTGAGTATTAAACCAATACATGTCTGTAGTGCTACTAACTTTATCATGGCAAAACTCTGAAAATTATAGTGCTTGACATTGAATGATTTATAAAGTGTTAAGAATATTTAATTTCAATTTTTTTTGCAGTTGGATCAGGGAAGGTAATACATAGAATAGGCTGTTGCCTCTATTTTCTTTCATACTGTAAAACCATTATTTTCAAAGTAAGATGAGTTATTAAATGGAGATTTAATAGACAGGAAGTTGTGAATGGAAATAACTTAAAAATCTAGAGTCTCTTTTCCAGAACTATTACCTGAGAACTTAGTGAAGACTATCCTATTTATTTTTATTAAATCTGTTTCAAAAAAAAAAAATGCTTCACTTCGTTATGGTGTTCTTCGGTCTTTGGCTGGAGACTTACCAAAAGTGGTGCTTTGATGCTGTCTTAGTATTAACAGCTACCATCCATGAATGACTGGTATGTATCAGTCATACTGCTGTGCCCTTCACATTTGTTGTCTAGTGTGATCCTTCTGCCGACCCTATAAAAGTGTGTATTCCATTTTGCAGAAGATACTGAAGTTCTCAGAAGTGATTTATCTGAGGCTCAACTATTAGGTGATAGAGCCAGGATTAACCTAAGTCAGACCCCTCTCTCTTTGGTTTTGCTTTACTGCTTCAGAAGATTTTGGTGTCTTTCACCTTTGCTTCTCTGTGTTATGAAGGAAAGAGCACGGATAAAGAAATTAAAAAATCTGGTTCTGATACTGAGTCCATCCTACTGTAAACCTTGGGCAAGTCCCTTAAATTCAGTGAAAATAAATATCCTCCCGTGAAAAATGGGGAGGGCAGGGATAGGAGTCAGAATACCACCTGTCCTACCTATACCACTAATTTTTTGTTAAGTTTGAATGATTATATCGATTATCCTGTACTAGTTCCTAATTTTTGCCATTCACTGAACCAGACATACATATACATAGACGTTTGGGAAATAGGTCAAAATAATTTTTCGGTGATTTCCCAAGTAGTAAATGGTGGAACCCAGATTCAAAGTCAGTTCTTTCTGACTCAAAAACCTATATTAGCAATAGTGCTGTACTGCCTCCATTCATGGAGTGCTTAGGCAAATAAAAAATGTAAAATATGCATTAAGTATGATGTAAGGAAATGAAAATAATATGGTGTTACTTGTGTAATTAAAAAAATATTTTAAGGAAAAACCTTTTTTAAGCCAGAAGGTACAAGGTGTTTTTTATTCATTCAGCAACTAAAAGGAGGAGGGAATTAACATTTGTTGAATACCTGTTCCGTGTTGGGCCCTGTTCCAAGCATTTGACTGTGGGATGTCTCATTTAATCCTCCCAACAAGCCTCCAAGTGATGCAATATGATCCTCCTTTTATACGGAACTTGAGGTCAGAGCAGCTTTCACACTGTTGCAGGCTGACACCCAAGCCCAGGTCTCCAAAACCTCTGCTCTCCTCCGTCCCTGACTGTCTCCCCCGACTGTCCGGTGAATGCACAGCACACGGAGTTGCGTGCCAGAAAAATGGCACCTTGATCGGCTGTGAGGATGTAGTCCTACAGGCTTTAAAATATATTTTTTCAGAATATTTTTTGAAAACTAGCAGTTTTGCACAGAATAGGAAAATTTATAGATTTTAATTATCAAGGCAGTATTTCATTTCATAGTAGTTAACTGATAATTCATTTATTTCATATTAAACTTAAATGCTTAATTAAATATAATTAAACTTTAAACATGTAATTAAATTAATTTTGAAAATGGGTACTTTGCCATGTGAGATTTATTTTCATTTATGAAAAGTGTGTGCTCATTTCACTGAAATGAATTTTACTGGTTCGTTTATAAAACAATAAGGCTAAGCCTTACAGTTGTCTATACTTTTCCTGTAATTAAGACTAGAGGATATTGCTGTGTCCAGCTATCATATGTGAGGATGTAATATATAATTTCATAATTTGTAAAGGCAGTGTTGAAACATATAAAGATTTTTTTACAGTAAGAACTGAAGGTCGTTTAAAATTTGCATTAATTAATTTAAAATTTTGGGTAGGTTTGACTATGGAAAATGTTCATACATATAGTTTAAACTTTCAAAATAAAGCTTAGGTATAAAAAGCTGAGATGAATCACAATAATATCCATATGATTTTGTTTTGATATTTCACTGCCATAAAGCAGATAATCTGAGTCACAATACAATGATAGGAAAACTGATTTTGAGAATAATTCTGTAGTCTAAATTTTCAAAATTTGATGCTGTTTTGAATTAAGCTTTGCTAACAGGTGTGCCCAAGCACAGTTCTGCCTCCTCACTAGAAAGATACTGCCATTTTTCAGGGTATGGATGGTGTCTCAACTTTCTTATTTATTAACAAATCTACTAACATACTGCTTAACCTACTGTCACAGACTGAAGGTTTGTGTGCCCTCAAATTCATATGTTGGAGCCCTAATTCTCAGTGTGATGGTGTTTGGAGATGGGGTTTTAGGAGGTAATTAGGGTTAGATGAGGTCGTGAGGTGGGTCCCTGGTCTAATAGGATTGGTGTCCTTAAAAAGAGGAAGAGAAGGCCGGCCCCATGGCATAGTGGTTAAGTTCACGCGCTCCACTTTGGCAGCCAGGGATTCTTGGGTTCGGATCCCAGGTGTGGGCCTGTGCACCGCTCGTCAAGCTGCGCTGTGGCGGCGTCCCACGTACAAATGAAGGAAGATTGGCACAGGTGTTAGCTCAGCAGCCATCTTCCTCAGCAAAAAGAGGAAGATTGGCAACAGATGTTAGCTCAGGGCCAATCTTCCTCACAAAAAAAAAAAAAGAGAGAGAAAAAAGAGGGAGAGACACCAAACTTCCCTCTCCTTGAGCACACACCCAGGAAAGGCCAGGTGAACACACACTCAGGAAATACCACGTGAGCACACACCCAGGAGAGGCCACGTGAGCACATAGCGGGAAGGTGGGCAGCCAAGGGGAGAGCTCTTACCAGACACCAACCGTGCTGGCACCTTGGTCTTGGACTTCTGGCCTCTAGAACTGAGACAAAATAAATTCCTGTTGTTTAAGCCACCCAGTCTGTGGTATTTTGTTATGGGAGCCCAAGCCAAGTAATATATCTACTATATTGTAAATGTTACTTTTTTAATGATAGATATGTCAGGTCTTGAATAGTGAGTTGACATATAGTTGGTAGTAAATAGAATGAACTTGTTTCGATATGTTTCTTTGAAATTTAAGATTTTGCTTTTACGCATTTATCCTAACAATAGCTAGTAGTTTCTTGTATCAGCTAAAAGTTTTGTATGGATTAAGTTGAATGAACTGAATTCTGAGAGAACCAGTTATCTTTCTAGGAAAATTTCTAGAAGAAAATCAGTGGAAAGAGGAGGAGAAGAATACTTAAGATTTTAGAAGTCATCCTATTTTTCTTCTCCTGCCACGTCTCTCTGCCAGCTTAAGTGGAAGTTCTGTGTGAGCTTTCTGTACTATTTCCTTAGACAGTCATGGTTGTGCACCCATCTATTCCTACATACTTATGTTTATATTTCTGTCAGGATGCTTATCGTGTTACACTGTAATAGTTCGTCTTGGCTACATTCTGTCTTCCCTCTGAAAGCATTGGAAGTCCTTGAGGAAAAGGGGCATGCTTTCATCTGTTTATTCCCCGGGTCTGGGACACAGGTGTTGACTTAATAGTTGATGAATTAGTGGACCGGAGCACAAAGTATAGTAATAACTCAGATTAAGCCTTGTTCTTAACACCAAGATTTTAGTGAGATGAAACCAAAGGGAAGCAGGGCCATGTAAGAGTATATGTTATTTCAAAAATACAGATCTCTTAAATTGAGAAGCAGAGAACCATAGTGTATTTAGAAGTTACAAGTAGAAAATTCACTCCTGAGGAAGGAATTTTGGAAGAGAGCTTCTAGGTAAGACTACAAGTTCAGAACAGAAGTCATAAGGTTATAGAAGTATACTATAAACTATTAAAAGGGTGTAGTGGGGCTAGCCCCGTGGCTTAGCGGTTAAGTGCGCACGCTCCGCTACTGGTGGCCCGAGTTCGGATCCCAGGCGTGCACCAACACACCGCTTCTCCGGCCATGCTGAGGCTACGTCCCACATACAGCAACTAGAAGGATGTGCAACTATGACATACAACTATCTACTGGGGCTTTGGGGAACAAAAAAAAAAAAAAAGGAGGAGGATTGGCAATAGATGTTAGCTCAGAGCTGGTCTTCCTCAGCAAAAAGAGGAGGATTAGCATGCATGTTAGCTCAGGGCTGATCTTCCTCACAAAAAAAAAAAGGGGGGGAGTGTAGTGAGTGATATATTAATGCAAATCTCAGCACTGCGGAAAGGCAAGATGTATGTGTGACAGAAATAGAACAAAGAATACTAAAATTCATGTGGGGCAACAAAAGACCCCGAATAGCTAAAGCAATCCTGAGAAAAAAGAACAAAGCTGGAAGCATCACAATCCCTGACTTCAAAACATACTACAGGGGCCAGCCCCGTGGTGTAGCGGTTAAGTGCTCGTG